GGGGGGGGGGGAGAAAGTTCCATGGTCATATCAGAGTGGAAAATGCTGTTCTATACAGCTAACCAGCTTTCTTTATTGCAGGACTTTCTGGAGACTTTAATATACTGTACTATGAAGCATTGTGATAGCTCAAAAGGGAAATATTGAATTCAGTGTTTAGCAACTTATTTGATCACAGAATTCTTTTTTGAGAAACATCTATCAACATCACTAGTTGGTAAAATTTATCACAGACAATGTTGATTCATCTGTATTTTACTGAGAGGAAACTGTGGCTTAGGAAGTTAAGTGTCTTGCCCAACATTTCAATCTCACATAACTGTTTTGTGGTTGAGCCAAAATTTTAAAATGATGTTTATGCCAGATGAAAGAATTTAAACATGATCAGAACAGGCTAATATTATTATTATGAAGAGTCCACATACATATAGAAATACACTTAAAAATGACTGAGTTAATTCTCTCCACATACTCCAAGAGCATCGCCCCTCAGTTCAGACTCCACTTCCTCTTTGATCTCCTTGGATGAAAAAGTTCTCCTTTTCTGCATTTTCCAATATTCCTCACTTGAATCTTGGTACACATTGCTTTATTGTCAGCTTTTTATACGCACGTGTCTTATCTCTCCAAACAGATTAGAGCTTGCTTTGGTTTTCCTTTGAGCTTCTCACAGTGTGTCTTGCATATAGTAGGGGCTTGATAGAACCTTCTTGGTTTATTAATGACCAGCCTGTCTGGCTAAGCTATTGATGGTTTGTGGTATCTTTTTACAGTATCCAAACACTACAGAACATTGGCTCTTGGCTCAGAGACATCACGTGTTCAAGTAAATGGCCAAGCCAGTATCAAGTAGGCACGATGTTGAACACCCATCGACATACCTGTAAAATGCAGCTCATGATATCAGAGGCGATTTTTGCGTGGGGAGTGTCTTCGTCTTTCCCGGAGGGTCTCAGGTTGTGCTCCAAGCAGGAGTCCCAGAGCCCCACAAGGGCCTTCGCGTGCTTTTCAATGGACTCTGTCTCTCTGATGGCTGTGGTGATTCTTGTGATGCAGATTTCAACCACTGCCTGGTCATTGTTATTGGTTGGGTAATCCTATTGGGAAGAAAACCTTTGAGTTAAATGATATTCTGTAAAGTTATCCCTCAAAGACCCAACCAAATACAAACTGAGTCATTTAACAAACAGGTGTGTCACACTGTACGCTAGGAGGCAAGGCTGCAAAGCCCAATACAAGGGCTGCCTTCTTTCGAGACGGGGATCTTGAGGAAAAGACAGAGTTGGAAACATGCTCAAATAGACAAGGTCCATGTATCACAGACACAGAGACAAGGAGTGGTGAGAGTCCAAAGGAACTTAATTATTCACTTGCATGTGGGTTTAATCCTCAGGCTATTTCAGTTTCTAAGTCCATTATTTTTTGGTCTGACATTTCAGTAACTTTTGTGAAATGTTTTAAGTATCCTTCCAACTTCCCTAAGCCTTCTCTCTCTGTACACAATAGGACTCATCACTTCATCTTTCCTTTTGCAGTTTAAATGACTGCCAAATCCACTTTAACGTTTCCCAACGCCATTGCTCTATTTTAATTCTCCCTCAAATGTCTAATCATCTTTATTGAGGGATGATGTGACCCTTCAAAACATCTACATGTGAAAAATAGACCCTTTGCTTTAATCTGGAAATTGTCTGCCTGTGAACTCCACTGGCAGAGCGACAAAGCTGCAAGCACCATAGAAGAGCGAGGAGCGTGGCCCCCGCACCAGCGCGTGCCACCAGGGAGGGAGTGACGGGCCCTCTCTCCCACCGCAAGCTCCAGCTCCGACGGCGTTTTCCTGCTGTTACGACGACTGCTGCAGTAACCGGCTCATGCACAAAGCTCTCTCTCTTTCTCTCTTTTAAATATAAAGATTTTATTTTTTTTAGGTTTTATAGAGAGGAAGGGGGTAGAGAAAGAGACACAGAGAGAGACACAGAGAGAGAAACATTGGATTTGTTGTTCCACTTATTTATGCATTTATTTGTTGACCTGTGTATGTGCCCTGACAGGGCATCGGATCAAACCCACAATGTTGGCACATCGGGACGATGCTCTAACCAACTGAGCTACCCAGCCAGGATGAAGCCCTCGCCACACTGTGGGTCACTTCTAGCCTAGATTTCATAGAAGTGGGAATTTCTGAGGCAAAGGACAGGAATACTTTTAAGGCATACGATACATTCTGCTGAATTATTTTCCAGAAAGGTCTTACTGATTTATACTCTTGTCAGCTGGGTGAAAACATGCCCTGCCTATTGTACCTTTGCAAGAGCAAAGTATTTTTAAGTTTTGCTAATGTGATCAGTAAAAAAACAGTGTCAAATTGCTATTGTACTTGGAATTTCCTTGATCAGAAGGGAAACTGAATATTTTGTCATGTTTATTGGCCATTCGTATTTCCTCCTTTGGGAGTTGCCCACTGTATCTTATGTTTATTTTTCCTTAGATGACTTCATTATTATTGGTCCTCCCTTGGTGCGATATCTTTTTCTATTAATAATATTAAGTCAACATTTGGCATATTGCGTGTGAATGTGTCTCCATGCTTCAGTATTTTTAGATTTATTATTATTATTTTTTGCTGCTATTTATTGGCATGCTAAGTTTTTAGGTAGTGAAATATGTCAATCTTTTGGGATTTTATTGATTTTACTTTTTTAAATTGGAAATTTAAGTTGTTTAAGTCATTATTTTTTAAAAATGAAATTCATGGACATGTTACAAAAATTCAAAAGATAAAAGAAAGAATTCACAGTGAAAAGTTAGTCTCCCTCTCACCCCAGTCCCCTTGCCCAAGGGCGACCAGGCTCACCAACTTCTGTATTTGACAGACACTCCAAGTACATGCAAATGTTCATTTATTCCAACTCCTTTCTTTCTCTGTAACTCCTACAGCAGTTATTCTTCTTACTTCAAGTTTTCCTTATCAAAGGTTTAATAAAATTTCACCCATATTTTTTCTAGATTAAAAAATAAGACAAAACATTGAACATTTGGCATGGCTCAGGGGTTGGGCATCATGCCTAGGATCCATGAGATTGAGGTTCAATTCGGGGTCAGGGCACATGCCCAGGTTGCAGGCTCATCCCCAGTAGGGGACGTGCAGGAGGCAGCCAGTCAATGACTCTCATCGTTGATGTTTCTGTCTCTCTTTCCCTCTCCCTTCCTCTCTCTGAAATCAAGAAAAATATATTTAAAAAAACCACATTTAACATTTGGTTTTTAGAACTTAATCTCTTAAATACTCACTTAGTTCTTAAATCCATCTGATATTTATGGAAGTAAGCAAATAAGCACGTTGTATTCTGAATAGCTAATCCAATCCCCCCACCATTATTTACTGAATAATTCATTCTCAATAACTGTTTTATATGCATCAGATTCTATTTCAAGGTCATCTTTCTGTTTACATGCTCCATTTCTCAATTCTTTACAATATTAACTTAGGCACTTTCTTCATCTAAGCTTCACAAATTTTTAAGTGTTTACCAGTGTATTTTATATTTTTGTTGTTGCTGTTAGCAAAATCTTTGTTTTTTCCTCATTAGAACTTTTAGTTATTGATGATTAAATCAAACTACAGTTCTTTTTGATCTTGTGCTTTGTTTTTGTATTTATTTTTTACCCAAATGTTTAGCTCCACTCCTAATTTTGATAATGTTTCAGGTCATTCTCATGGGTTTTCTGGAAATATTTCTGTATTATGTCTATACCTTTTATATATCTCATGGTGTATTGTGTCAGCTACAATTTCCTAAGCTATTTCACATAAAACTGATAAGAGCAAGAATACTGGTTTAGTTTCTGGTTTTAGTTCCTTATTTTTTATATAAAATTTTATGATCGAAAGCAAGACAGTACTATAAATGTTTTATATCATATAGAATAAAAATGCTCAGTATATAATAATTAAAGGAAAATTTCTCCAAGGAAAAAATAACAACCCTAAACTTGTGTGTACATAAGTAAAAAGCTCTCAGATTCATAAAACAATCTTGCCAAAAGTACAAGGAAAAATTGACAAATCCAATATTGTAGTGGGAACTTTTAAAACACCTCTCTTAGTAATTGACATTTCAAGCAAACATAAATCTATTGAGGATATAGTAAATTTGACCAATAAAATTAACAAAGTTTTTAAAATCAAGATACTTTCTATTTTCAAAGTAAATTTGTTGAATAAATTATAAACAAATTATCAGGATTAATAAGAGAGTTGAATGAGTCTACTGGGTACAAGATCACTACACAAGTGTCATTTCTGTTATAATCACCTTAAAAATAGTTGTGAAATACAATTTTTAAAAAGGATTCCACTTATAATCTCAGCTAAAAATATAAAATACTTACAAACTGAAAAAAGATTTGTAAGACTCTCAAGGTCCTTAGGGGAAAAATTATAAAACTTTATTGAAAGATATTTAAGAGGAGCTAAATAAATGGATAAATATACAAAATCTACAGATAAGAAGACTGTGCCATAAAGATGTTAATCTTCTTCAAGTTAATCTATAGACATAATGAAATTCCAATCAAGATACTGACAGAATTATTCATGAAACTTGAGAAGCCTAATACAAAACTGTTAAAGAACAAAATCAAATCAAAGCAATTTTAAAGAAAGAATTGGGGATACTTGTCCTACTAGATACCAATACTTATTATAATAAAAGTTGGAATGCAAGCTACATTTGGAGTAAGAGATTCATAAGTGACAAAGGATTAATACAAGAATACAGAAAAAAATTCCTTCAAATTAATAAGAAAACATATATATTTTAAATCTCAATAGAAAAACAAAAAGCAAAACCAAACCCAACCATAAACAAGCGCTTTACTGAGAAGGAAAGCCAAATAGCAAATAGCAAATAAACTTATTTTTAAAATGGTCAACTACCCTACTAATGAGGGGATTGCCACATTTAATAACAATCAGATACTGTTTCACTTAAATTGACATAAACTTTAAAAATCTGATAAAAGCGAAGATTGGTGAGGTAAGGCCCCTGGAACTCTAGTTCTCGGCTGATGGGAGTGTAAATTGGTATAACCACATCGGAGAGCAATTTGCTGGTATGTCAGAAAGTTGAAAACATACAAAAGCCCCAAACCAGTTCCTTCACTCTGAGTGTATACACTAGAAATACTAGTACATTTGCCAAAACTGCTAATCGTAAGAATGTTCACTGTAGCACTGTTTAAACAGTAAACATCCATCAAATGAAAAATAGATAAACAACCGTGGCGTAGTCCCATGATGAAATACTCTATCCACTGAAAACAAATGAATGGGAACTGCGTGTACCACCACAGCTAAACCTCAAAAACATAATACTGAGCTCATAAGTGTATTTACATAAAGTTTAAAAACATAAAATATAACACTATAAGTGATTTTGAATCATGATCATGTAGCAAAAAAATAAAAACATGCATGAATAAGTACCACAGACAGGATATTGGTTAGCTCTGGGAGAAAAGGGAGGAGAAATGGATGAGTGATTGACATGCAAGTGATTTAAATTTTATCTTATCGCTTAAATTGGGTGATTCTTGAGTGCCTAACATTTTTTTATTGTTATAAAAAAGCTAAAGAGGACTGGAAGATGGTGGAGCAATGAGGCATGGGCGGACGTCCTGGGAAAGGTGGGGCTGGGAGGGGGAGAAGTGGTGAGTGCACAAGGAGGCAGGCGCACCTGAAGCTGTCGGGGGGCAGAGCCAAGATAGTAGAAGTGACTATTAGGTAAAGAAGTGATTATTAGACGGACTTGAAATGAAAAGACAAAACTTAAAGTCAGCTGGGGCACTCAGAATTTGTAGTGCAAAGTCACGCTTTCAAAGCAAAGTAGAAAAAGAGGCATGAACTGCAAAGTGGACTCTAGCAAATTTCAATTATTTTGTTAGTGACTTTAGAAGAAGGATTGGAGGTTTGCTTACTGAGTGTTCAGATCTACAAAGCTAGGAATGATAACTAACATATTGGACAGATCATGATTTTTTAAAAGGTATGGGTATCCTGGAAGAAGGGCCTAAAAACAAAAATATTATTGCAATGGTTTAAAATGTGACATAATTCACTTAAAAATTTTTTTCAAGTTATCCAATTACAAGTCTTGATTCAACCTGAGGATCTTGGCAAATCCCAGTATGAATTTGGCCAATTGGGTGATGTTATTGTAGAAAAGAAATTTTTGAAACAGAGTGTCTGACTAGTATTAGCAGTTGTTCTAAGCAATTGGCTCAAGTACTGGGCAACGATACATTGCAATAATAAGTTAGGAAAATTCCAGGGGAGGGTAACTAGAACGTTGAGAATTCAGGCAGTACTTGGGAGCTATAATGAGACATCTTCCAAGAACTTGAAAACAAGATTGTCCTTTGAGGATTAAACAACAACAACAACAACATTAAAATCCATGTGTATAAGTGGAATTAGCGAGCTACTGGGCTAACCCAAGATGCTATATGTACATGGGTGACTTCTCAGGTGAGTGAAATATAATCTCAAGGAGGTAGAACTGAAATGTAATTATAACAGGAGGAAGAAATTTAATCAACAATAACATTCCTTGTCCAGTGAAAGACTGGGTAAATAGACTTGGAGAGAAAAGTATGGAACACACAAGAATTCTAACTGACATGAGTTTTATTTTATATTGTAAATCAGCGAGCCAGCATTGTAATTTATACTTCTGAGTCTTGCATTTGAATAGCATGATTTGAATAGCATTTCTCATGTACTGACAAAATTGAATTTCCAGACCTAAGACTGGAAATGTGAGGTGATGTAGCCTTTCCCTGTCATAGGCCCACCCTTTCCTTGTCATGGAAAAACATGCGGCACTAAGGATGTTTAGCTTGGAAGAGAGAAGCCAGAGGTGGGGTTGATGCCCATCTTCATGTGTTTAAAGTTCTTGTAGGAGCAGAGGTTAGATTTTTTTGATTGTTGGGGGGTGGGGAAGGCACAATAGATAGACAATACAAAAAATAAGATTTCATCTGCCTGAAAGGATGAACACGTTAAGCCATTTGAACAGTGAAACAGCTATCTTTTTGCCAATTAGGATTCATTGGTTATAAGCAACAGAAAAAGTCTCTATAACTACTAAAATAATAATAAAGATATTAGATGGCTCAAAGATTTGAAGAAAAAGCCGCACTACCTGGCCTTAGAAGGGTAGTTTTGGGAGCCACCATCATCATGGTTAATCGTCCTGTGCTGATTTCCCCCCCAGAATTGCTGGGGAAGAAATTCTGATTGCTATCTCTTGGGTCAGATGTCCCCACTTCTTTTCTCCCTTCTCTCCACACAGAGGCAAAGTAGAGGAGGTTGACCAAAGCCCCATCAAGGTTCATGCAATGGGAAGGGGAAATTTATGAAAGGAAAACCAAGAAGCAGAAAAATATCAGAAACATACCATGTCCTCATCATTGCAAGTGCAGAAGGAAAGGCCACCTATTTGTTAGGAATCCTAAAGAAATTTCTGCACTGGAAGGAAGTTGGAAAAGATGATTTAGAAGGTCCCTTCTAGTTCTATGTTTCTAACAAGAAATTAAGAAGTGTAATTGATTACTGAGACCCAGGGTCATCAGGAAAGAACCGATCACAAGGGAAGATGGGACGCAGATAACAGGGAAGTAAGCCATAGAGGAGGTGTGAGGGGTCAGTGGACTAATCCCTGGAATTGGTCATTGAATGTCATGGGCGTGGAGGCATCATGGGTAGGTTTTGAACAATGGAGGGACCTGTAATAAAATCTGGTTTAGGCAGTTTAATCTGGTAACTGTTTGTAGAATAAACTAGAGAAAGACAGTACCAAAGGCAAGGAGATCAGTTGTCTTGAGGGCCTGAGCCAGGGTGATAGCAGCAGGAAGGGGGAAGAATGAGCAGAGGAGGCATTTCTCTGGCAGTGTCTTCAGAGCTCACAGGGCAAGAGGAGAGTGAGAGACAGGGGTCATTAGTGACTCCAGGTTTCAAACCGAGACATTTAGGAAAATGACAGTATAACTGCAAGAAAGATGATAACTTCTAATTAAGACATATTGATCTTGAGGTGCTGGATATCAACTACTATAAGCTCAAAGCTTAGGGAGAGATGTCAAACCTAAAAACATAAATTTGGGATCCCCTCACGTAGAGATTGCACTTGAGGTTATATGAATAGATTACTTTCTGTAAGGACAAAATATAACGCAAAAGGGCAATTAAGTCTTTTTAGAAAGAAGTAATCAGTAAGAACTAAAATCACTAGAAATCATTAAAGGAATAATGAAACTAGACCTGGATTTTAAAGAAATAGAAAGGGAGAAGGAATTCCACAAATGGATGCATTTATAACTAGGACTGATTAGGAAATTTAAATATTGGATTGATCTCCATGATTCCTCTAAAAAAATGATGATGATAATTCTGCCACCCATCTGCTCTATGCCACAGTTGTAGATAAAGAGGGGGAAGAGGTGAGTTATGAGAGACCTTAGTAGATGAAGGACACAGGAGAGCTCCTGACCTGCAGACCTGCTGGTCTGGTGGGATGCTGACTGGGGGGCTTAAAGGATGGACAATGCTCCTGATGACCAGGGGCCTGCCAGCCCCAATGGTTAACAGTGAGACATATAATGGACAGAACTCACCAGTCTTAAAATTCTGAATTTACCATCTGTGAGACAAAGCAATTGAAGGAAACAAAAACAATAAAAACTACTGACACTAGTGACCTCTAGTGGAAATAGCTTTCAGGGAATGTGGATATATACAATGTATTTATTATATCCAATAAATATTATGAATAAGGTAATATTTATTAGAATAGCATATATATACATATATATACATATATGCTATTAGATTAGACAAAAATCAGTGGCATACTCACCCAATTTATTTCTAGAGGAGAGTGATGAATGGGCTGCTGGAAATAGCACATAAATCTTACCCAGAAAGTGGAAATGTACCAGGAATACTTTGTGTTTTGAGCCAGACTAAGTTGATTAATGTTCTGGAAAAAAATGTGGACACATAATTGCTGTCAAAGACATTACCTGAGAAACGAAGAGTATTTGGGCAGTGACTTCACTGGCCACTGGGGGAATGTGGCATGTTAATGGCCACCGGCAAGAGAACACGCTGACAGGCTTGAGGAGGAAGCTGTATTGGTTGCTAGCAAGCCTTTTAAACATTTCTTCTTTATAACATGGAAGGAAAGCTTTTATTTCTGAAGTGTACACATTTGCTAATTTGGTATTTTGTGGCTTGAGTCCTGCCTCTTTCCCCTGCCCCGTGGGTGTTTACACCACGTGTTGGCAAACGGTGTCGAGCTGGGAGGATGTGTGAGAGGATGCTTGGTGGCCTTGGCCTTTGAAATGGGACCAGGCTCGAGAAGGGTCCAAGCATGACCAGGAAGGTCGAGATCAAAGCACACCAGGCACTCCACACCCACCCTCTTTGGAAGTACTTTCAGAACATATAATCTTGACATTGAGGAGAAACAAAGGAATGGGAGGGTGAATGGAAATTTTAAATGTGTCTGATCACACTGGGGGCTAATAATTAGGGAGGTGAACTAAATGGTGTGGGGGGGGCAGGGGTGTAGGAAAAAGAGCAAAGGAAGGAAAAACAAAACAAAACAGAGACAATATAGAAGCAAAGAGAATCAGTGTTATCAAGCCCTGGGCAACTGTCACTTCTGGCAGCAGAGTGACGGCTGTCCTTGTCTCGTGTTACTTGCATGGCAGGAGGTGTCATCCTGCCTTCTTTCATTATTCAGACGCCCCCACACACCCTGCTTTGTTTGCTGATGCTGGTGTGCAGCTCGGCAGGTCTGCTTTTCCCTGGACTTGCTCTCTCTCCTCTCCATGTCATTCCAAGGATATAGAAATAACCTGTAGAAAAGCCTTTTGTGAGAATCCCACTCTGGTCTGCAGTTTCCAGAATTCTGGTCTCTGTGAGTGGGCAAAAGGTGGCTTAGCTGCCCCCTAAGTCCATGACTTCCCTGGTGTTACTCCTTAGATGCCAGCTAAACCACAGAGCAGAGTCAAGAGAGACCCATATTAGTGATTCTTTCTCTTTTCCCCGCGAAGATCCTTCCCCCAGGATAGATATAATTATTTGGCTCTAGAATAGATAATTTCTAGTCTGAATAGAGGTGTAGTCTGAAAATTAGTTTACTTACTGAAGATGAGCTAATTATTTTAATTTGCTCCAAAGCTTCTGTCAGGCTGTCTTCAATCTCAGAGTCATCTAAGGAGAAGAGGTCCCCAGCTCTTGAAAGATCTTTTTGCCCCAAGACCAGTCTGAACAGGTGATGCATGGTGAGAAGTTTGATAGTCAGTTGACTTTCTGTAGGCCCAGGGCCATGTGTCCCAGTTATCAGAGGTCAGTAAGACAAAAACAAGTAGCAGGAGGTGTACTTTGTATTCCTTGAAAGGTCATTTTTCTCCAGACTTTGAGGTCTTCTTTGACAATCTCTGCAAAAGAATCAAATGACACAATGTAGCCATTAGTAGAAAAACATGACCTTAAAAGGTGAGCTTTGTGCCCAGCAGAGAGCAAGGGGAAAAAAGACCTTTGGAGATATGCATAGAGCAGCGATTTCCGACCCTTTCCATCTCATGGCACACATAAACTACTAAAATTCTGCAGCACACCAAAAAATATATTACTTTTTTTTCTGATCTGACCAAAAATAGGTATAATTTTGATTCATTCAGCACAGCTATTGTTATGCTGGCTGTTGTCATTTTTTTTCTTTGACAACCTAAGAGAAAAGAGGTCAGTGCCCCTGACTAAAGAGTCAGGTGTTGCATGTTTTAAAAATCCTGGTGGCACACCAGTTGAAACTTGCTGGCATAGAGTAACAGATTCTGGCTTGATATCTTCATATGAGATCTTTCCTTATTTTTGCCTCAAAAAGTCCCATAAAAAAGGATTAGGTTTCTCCAGAATTTAATTTGAGCCATAAAAAGCAGTGTAAATCCCACACTTAGTTTTCTCTTTTCTCTATATGGTACCTCTCCTTTTCTCTATGCCACTGGGAAATAACTGGACAAGCAACAAATATGCCCAACACTTGCCAGGTTTCCCCCAAAGAGATTCCCATAGAAACCAAACAGAAAAGGGCAATGAAAGGAAAGTGAGGACACAGGAAACATCTTTTAGACCCACTCTCTGGTTTCCTCTCTTTTCCTGGACATGGAAACCGATGTTTACCCTCTTGGCCGGGCTTCTTTGCTATATTGACCACAGAAGCTGCCCCAACCTTCAGTCCAGAAGATGACCTCAATACTTGCCCTATTTGTATACACTCTCTAAACAAGTAGCAGTGAAGTAAAGGACTCTGCCCAGGACTGTGTGCATAGATAAAGCTTGACAGAATGTGAGCATGAACTTGAGCATTGAACTTGAAGATAACATTTCAGTGCAGGCTGAAAGAGGAGGGCTTTGGGATCAGGCAGTCCTCTCTCTGTCCCCACAGCAGAAATAGTAAAGCCCCCCTGTACTTCTCACTCAATTAACAGTCCAAAGAGAGTAGAGAAATGGTACAAATTAAATATCTGATTATTCTCATCAGCCCCCTTCTGGGCCTAATAAAATCACTGCAGAGATCTTAGCCGGCATTTAGTGGCCAGGGAGGTCTGCTGACTCACCAAGGCCCCACGGTAGCTGTGGTAGTGCTGTTCTCCTAACTTCAGGCTAATGGGCCTCCCCCAGAATTTACAGCGGAGTCATCTCATACATGCAAGTAACATACAAATGTAGTCACATGCACAGAGAGGGAGAGCCAAGAGTGGTTTATTTAATATAAGCAATCAGCAGTTCTGCCCAGCTTTCCCTCTGCAGGAGCTCCACAGGAGTATGAAAAGGAGCAGGGGAGCTGTTGCTTCCTGGGCCATCCCAGGCATCCCTTCTGAGCTATCACTGTGGGAGCACATCTCTGGGCTGATTGCAATTTTAAAGTTTAAAAATACACACTCTTTATGCAACATGGTCTCTAAATACAACTCAAATCTTTCACCAGACAATTAAATGAGCTCTCAGTAGTATTTCAAAAGATGCAATTCATAAGCCACTGAAGAGGTTTCAAGGGTAATATTGGCTACATGCAACTTTTACACTACCTACCAGCTTTAGAAAAATGACACCCAATATTTATATATGCTTGTCTATGTGCCAGGTACTGTTCTAGATGCTTTGTAAACATTAACTCATTTAACCCCGATAACAACTACATGAGGATATTTCATCCCCACTCGACAGGTGAGGAACCCTCGGCATTAAATAACTTGCCCAAGCCACACAGCTAGTAAACTGAGAGCTAGATTTTGGATCCAGAGTGCTAAGCTCCAAGTTCATAACCACTATGGGGTATTGATCCCATGTGAGGCTACTACTAGGAGTAAAGGCCCTCAGAGCACGAATAACATTTGAGGATGAAGAGATGGGTAGAGTCTTAGAAAAACGAACTCCTCTTCCCTCCTACACTGACCCTGCACCCCTGCCCATCTGTGCCCTGGGATTTAGGCCAAGCAGAGAGCAGGAAAGGCACAAGGAAGCGAAACTTAAAAATTGTGACTTTTTCTCCCTGAATTTTCTTCTTAACACATTCTCCCCTACAGCCCCCACTCCCCTCTTTAGACAGTTACAGTGACAGAGTCTCAGTGAAAGAATATTCAGGAAAATAAGACATTGGATGGAAATGACTTTACCTGACCAGTCAGCTTGTTGGTCAATATCTGGCACTTCCTGAATTGGATTCAGCTGCCCCACGCATATCAGAGCTGGAGCTCTGAGAAGGAGCAGAAATAAGGGCATGGGGGGGGG